GAATCATGCAAATATTTTTTTATAGCAACTTCATTATCTAACGATAACGGTTTACTCCAAGTATTTTTGGCCAAAAGGTTTCGCGTATTTAAAATATCAAAAGTATTATTCAATATCCTTCAAAAATTGTTCGTAAACTGCGAATTTTTAAAGTCTTCTAAATTTAAATCAAAGTTGCAAAAATCTATTGCGTCAGCCACATTATCACTAAATAATTGAACCGCTAATGCAACTTTCATTATTTCACGCTTGAAGTTTAAATGTCTTCTAGTTAGTTTGTTGGCAGCATGTAAACATGCTTTCTCCTGCAACTCTACAAACTTTTCAAAGAAAATCCAACTTATAATATTTCCGTCCTTGTCTTTTAGTTCTTTCCACAGGTAAAAAGCATTTATTATATGCTTCATCACGTGACATACATCCAAAAAAATGTGAACTCTCTGGCTTGTAAATGAATGCATAAACCAAGGCTTCAGATCTGTTGCTTCTAATTTTACACCTAATATTCGACCGACGGAAAAATTTGTAGTAGTACCATCAAAAGTTAATGATACAACTTTTGCACCGCAATCGTGACTCATTTTCAGGCACCCATTTACTAAATTTGCTTTTGTTGAAGCTTGCAAACCATTTAATAAAAAATATGCAATCGGTATTTTCCATCTAGTATTCAATTCAACCAACAGAAATACCAATGCCTCTTTTGCTTCAGGTAGTGCGTCACTTTCTAAATTGCTACCAAAATCTACAAAACTCAAATATCTTTTCCCGTTCCAATGAATATGTTTCTTTTATTGCTATTTCGTCCATAATTAATCCACATATTAATTCTTGATTTTTCTCCCTTAATTCTGCAACCTTCAATTTAATAGCTTTGAGAGATTCTGCGGTATAACCGGGCGATCCATCCACAGAAGATAACCATTTCCTTATAGTGCTCGGATGGGGTAAGCAATTATTGAAGGTTTTCCGTATATAATTGTATGCAGAACACGAGTAGAAATTCAATGTTAAAGCAAAAGAACGAAGTTGAGGAGGAAATTTCTTTTCAGTTGATAATTTAAGCTGTCTCAACAGTAACTCCTTTTCACTTTCAGGAATCAACAGTAACTCCTTTTCACTTTCAGGAATCGTTTCTTAAAACTATTTCAAAACCATTAGCAATACTTTGTAAATACGCTTATGAAAGTGCCCCCCAAAACTTCTGAAAAATAAATGTTTCTTCTTAACCTTATTTAGTACTCGTACCATCGACTTCCTCTGCTAATAATTTTCAAGCGCATGAAAAAGGAATAACAAATGCATAAAAGGTATAAGCATTAATTACTACCTCATGCTCAAGCATTTAAAAGCACCTTAAATAATAAAATATCGACCTAATAAAATAATAGTATATTAAAAAACAAGTTCCATAAGACCAGTCTTGAAGCACGAATTCAAGTTTAAAGAATGAGTGCTTCAAGGTCTTATAAAACGAGTTTTTTTTATACTATTTTTTGCAATGACTTTTTGCCGTTTTTAAACAAAAATTTTAATCGATTTAGAGATTTTTGAACAATTGGTAATGTCTTAATTTTGAAAGTGAAAAATTGATCTAAAATTTTTGTTTTTTCAAAATGCTGTCAAAATAAAAATTCTGTAAAAAAATAAATATGGATGATAATGAAGGTAATCTTGCATGGACGCCCCCTGAACTTCGTGGAATTGGCAAAAATACAGTTGCGAATTTGCTTCCTGCCAACCTAACAATTTTCGTAAAATGTTCCGTCAAATAATGACGATTAATACATCGCACATGATGACGTTGCGTTCCTTAGTTCTTTAGTATGTCTATTAGAGCGTCAAAATAGAGGCAAATTACAAAAAAAACATCGCCGTCTCCATAGAAATAATCTTTTTCACGCCTGGGCATTTTTTGAGTTCAAGTGATTCCCGTTGGCGCTTTAATCTGGGGAAAATTTTTGACAAATCCAGTTTTTTAGCTTAAAGGGTTCAATCTCATAATATCATTCTCCCTGGCGTATCTAGTTTTGTTGTATCCTTCCTTCCCAGCATTTATTAATTGCGTTATTTTTCGTTAATAATTAAAAATTATTCAGTTTTTCCTTAGTAACCCCCGTAACTAAGAAAAAATCGGAATCACTGCCCCAATGCATTTTTTATGAAATGCCCAGGCGGGATATTGATACATTTGATTAAGGAGGCGGTGCAAAAAAATTCTAAATTGCTTTTCAAAGCGATGCCACTCAATCATTTATATGCAATGCGTCATAACTTAAAGCTTCATAGCTTGTTACCTGCAGCAACGATAAACAATCACTTGATAATTTTTTTGTTTCGTCCAAATGTTCCAGTAAGTTTCTTAGTGTCTTGACTTTCCTAGATAATCGGTAATTCTTCATTCGCAAAATTTTAAGTTTCTTTTTTTGTAACATTATTGTATTTCTAGCGCACTCAAACATCATTTTCACATCTTTACAAGAATTTAAGTGTGCCTCTTTAAAATCACCAAAGTATTTATATCTAATTCTTCTAGCTGTTGGCATCTTTTCGGGTGCATAGCATGTAGTAGCTGTAGATGTTGAAGCAATTGGGTCTGACGGAAGGATAGATAATGGAACAGTTGATTGCCTTTCACAATATTTTCTTTTCTTTTTTTTTTGTTCAACAAATGTTCAGAAGTCAAAAATACTTGGTACAGCGTCTTTTTTTAATTGCCTTTTGCCAACGTAGATTTTAAAGTCTTCCACCATAAAATGTTTATTGCACAAAAAGGTATTTTTTGATGGATTAAATTCATCTCTTCTAGTGGCAATTATCCATTTTTTCCTTAATTCGTTGTCACTTGGGAACCTTCAATTAACACCACATTTAATAACTAGAGTTTATACATATATTGGAAGAGTTTGAACCATAGACTTATAATATTTTCAAAAAATCATGAAAGGATCTTGTAAGACATTAATTCCAGTTTATGACACTACCTTTGCGGTCATTAGTTGATGAGATACTGATGATCAAAGACAAAAGAATCCTTTTTCATTTAAAGTCAGATATCTCAGCGACAAATTGTCGTAAGGAGAATATGAAGAAAGCATATTAAAGGTAAACAAACATATTATGCGGACTATAAATTGACTTGAACTAAAAATAATTCTCCACGTCCGTGGACCAAAAACAAAAAAATTTAGAATTTTTTTTCTCGCGCTGTTACTTAGAATTGCGGATAACCGTAGACCAGAAAAAATATTTGCCAAAAGATCTCAAAACTAGAAACATAAAGCTTCAAAATGATTTTTTTAAATCTAGATACGACCATTTTCCGATGAGTTACAACCTTTCAAAAATCACCAAAAAAATTTAGTAAAATTTTTTGTTCCTTTAATTTTATGGGGTAGTGTAGATAAATTTACTCACCTGTAGAAAGATAGCGGTGAACTTTTAGAAAATCGTTCTTGACACCCAAAAGCTGCACATGATTTCACCATATCTATTATTATTACACTAAAGTACTTTTAAATAAAGGTAATTGTCTTTTTCAAATCCAAGTGTTTGCCAACATTGTCATTTTAGTAGTCAGATGTCAATGGTTTGCCACCATTGCGTTTAATGTGTTGCCTACCTATGTTGACAACAAAATTTTTAGGTCAAGCGCGTTCCAGAGTAAGACGTCTATGGGCAAATGTTACGGAAACCATAGAAATGGATTTCAAGTAAAGTTCACCCTTCCAGAAATAGTTCCGGGAATCTGTTGCTGCAACCGAAAACGTGCAAATACGGTCGTATCCCACCTCTCCGGATACTATTATTATTATTATTTTTTTTCCTAGTTTAAATTTGACTGGAACCATAGCCCCTAGTCTCCGACAACTGAAGGGTAATTCCAGTCGGGTTAATCCATACCCTAGAACCTGCTCCATACGACCGCATGGTAAGCAAATCCTAGGTCCACAAATCGTGTGCCCTGAGCAGACGCAATGAYCCGAGGATTACCGCCTTCTGCATTTGACCGGCAAGTCGTTCAGCCGCGTCGCGGCATGCCGGAATGATCTTCAAAGACGAAAGCAGCGTTGGTCTTGCACCCCCTAAARATCCGATGACCAAGACGACCAGTTTGATAGAATAGCCAGGATACAGCCTACGGAGCTCCTGAYGGAGATCTCGGTATTTTAACCYCTTGTCCTCCTCCTTAGCGGAMWTGTTTGGCTCAGCCGGAGCTGAGAATTCGATCACAAACATCTCCTTAGATAGAAGATCGAGGAGGACAATGTCAGGCTTGTTGGCCTGAATGAGTCCTGTAGTTGAGAACGAAAAGTTCCAATAAATTCGGCACTTCTCATTCTCCACTCCCGACTCAATGTCTCCTGGAGCATATGGAAGCACAGGTGTTTCGTCTACCCCGTACGAGTGTCTAAGGTGGTAGTAGACCACTCGTAAGGCCGCATTGTGGCGATGGATATAAGACGATACTGCATACTTCGGACAAGCCGACAGTATGTGCATCAGTGTCTCTGGTGCAGTGCGACATGCACTGCACCGGATATCCGGAATGTCCATAGCCATCACGCGGCCGCGATAGACGAGCGTGTTAAAAACACCATCTTGGCAGGCTATGATAAACCCCTCCGTCTCCGACTTTAACCCACTTGCCTTCAAAAAGGCAAAGGTCAGCCGCTGAGATAAGCCCTGGTTTTCTATGGTTTTATAGAAGACACCATGCATGGGCTTGTCACAGTGCTTGCGCAATAAACTGCGCACCTCGGCTTCCCTTACGTGGGCCTGGAAACGAGTATCCTCCCACTCGGTGACAGAGTTTTCAGACACTCGTTCCTCATCGAAGACAAGACCGAGTTCATCCGCTGCCCTTCGTGCTGCCCTAAACAAAAATGCTCCCACCTCCCCTCTTTCGTGTTCGCATACCATGCGAAGAAGGGGATCCGAGCTCCTGATGATCTTACAGGCTGTACCCAAAGCTACTCTGTCGTGCAGACACCGCAAACTCAAGAGTCCACGGCCTCCCCGATTATGTGGGAGATATAACCGTGGAACGGATTATTTTGGGTGATGACTCCTTTGAAGAGTCATCATTTTGCGGGTCCCTACATCGAGGTTTTGCAACTCGCCTTTAGTCCACTTCACAACTCCAAAAGAGTAGAGCAGGATCGGAACAGCAAGCATATTTGTTGCGGCAACTTTGTTCTTCCCCGACAGTTCGGAAGACCAAATTTGCCGGAGCAGTTGCCGATACTTGCCATATTACGCTGTTCAATGCCGAGGTAGGTATAGGTCTCTCCGGCATTCAGATGTTTAAGAATGCTTCCATCAGCAAGTTGCTCATCCTCTCCGTATTCTCCGCATCGTCCTCTCTTGATATGAACCAGTACGCATTTGTCCGTTCCGAACTCCATTCCAATCGCATGAGTATACTCCTGCACCACCCTAAGAGATTGTTGTAGTTCTCTTTCTCCGGAGGCGTAAAGTTTAAGGTCATCCATATTGAAAAGATGGGTGACCTTATGCCTCCGGTGCGAAGGTGGGCCGCAAGTATATCCCTTTGTTTTTCGTAAGGCAATTGAAAGCGGAAGTAGCGAAATGCAAAACAAGAGGGGGCTCAAGGAATCTCCTTGAAACACCCCTCTCCGGAACGTCACCCACTCTGTGCGAACTTTTGTGGCACCTGATGTTATGGTGAATCTGGTTCGCCAAAGTAGGATCATTCGTTCTAGGCATTCCACTATAGGATCAGGCACCGCAAGGCTCTTGAGAAGGTGCACAACGAGATGGTGAGACGTTGTGTCAAACGCCTTGCGGTAGTCAATCCAGGCCATCGAGAGGTTCCGCTTGTACTGCCTGGAGTCCTGCGTGATAGTACGATCTATCAGCAAGTTCTCCCTGCAGCCAGCCACACCCCTCTTTGACCCTCGCTGTTCGCATACCTCACGAAAAACAGGATCCACTGCTTTAAGTATCCGCATGTATAAGACCCTTGTAAAGATTTTATAGCATGCGTTTAAACATGTGATTGGCCTGTAGTTCTTTGGATCGGACAAATCACCGTTCGTAGGAAGCAACACGGTCCGGCACTCGACAAACCATTGGGGGATCCCCTGCTCCCCATGCATCCAAGCATTAAAGATGCGGACCAAATGTGGATGGGTTGATGGAAACTTCTTCCACCAGTAGGTGTTAATCCCATCCGGTCCAGGAGCAGAGAAGTTCCTTGCACCCGTTAAGGCTCCTTGAACCTCCTCAAGGGTTATCGGTGGGCACAGGTTGTTTGGATTCTGGAACTTTTCATTAAGACAAGTCTCAAACTGTGCCAAGGCCGCGGTATCGGCATTAAATGGCCGTACTTGCTCGTAGATTCCCTTCCAGAACAGATGGACAGCCTCCGGGGTAGGCGTATTTTCTACAACACGCTGTGGCGGCTGGAATAGGCGAGAGGGGCTCTCTGCAAAATCCTTGTTTTGTTTCTGCCCTTTCGCTCTCCTGACTAATGACTTTTTGGTGGTCACTAGTGCTCGTATCCTTTCATTACAATGCTGCTTGATGGTTTGCAACATTGCACCGTTCAGGGTGTGATGAAAGCGGCGTAAGTCCGCCGCTATGCGTCGGACCTTGGGCGTGAACGGTCGCCCAGCCTTTTTGTATTCCAACACACACTGGATACGGGATGCGTATTGTCTCGCCTCCCGGATTTTGGCTTCCAACTTTTGTGTTCGACGCTCAGCCCTTTTGTCCGCACCCGATGTTATGGGCTGGGACCTTTGGGCAAGTACACGAGCGGCATCATACACGGCGCAATTTATGCGCCAGATGTCGGGTTGTCCTGAAAGGGTCTCTACAAGTTTCTGGTCCATTCGAGCCAGGTCTTGTGGCTTTGGTCGTCTTGCTTTGTGCAAACAATGGCGGTCATCAAATGCTCCTGGTGTTATGAGTGCAACCTCCCTGGTTGGTACAACCGGTTCCCTTACGGCAGCCGGCCGAACTGGTGCGGGAGGACGTTTGACATAACCTTTCCGCTGTAGGTAGGCAACGTAGTCTCGCAACTTCTGAGAGAGAAATGCTCGGTACTCAGGTTGTACCTCACACCATCTCTCATGTATGCGAGACATGTACCCCCTACGGGAAGGTTAACTTTGTTAGAATTTTATTTTACTCAAATTTTTGTCTGAAAATAATGTGATTGTGAATAAAATAGCATACAAACCTCGGTGGTAATCTCATTACCCTTTGATCGTATACATAAGCATTCTGGGTAATGCCATATTTACATTTGGAGATCAATATCTACCTACTCCAAAAAATATCAGTTTAATTAAAAAAAAATAATTAGATTTTATAAGTTTATAGGTAGTATTATTGTTAAAATTATGGAAAACACTTTAGGTAAGTATCTTTAAGTATTCAAGATAACAATCTTGAATCTCACGTATTTTCTGAGTACATACAGGGTGATTCAGATAAGATAACGAGCCTGACGATCTGGCGATGCAACTCAAAAAACAAATTTTATTTACGTCTTGATCTAATTTTAATTACGATTTGCATTAGCAATCCAAGTTATCTTATGTTGCTCAGACAGTGCTTTGAAAAGCAATTTATGATTTATAAAAAAAAAAAACTGTTTGCCTACCTTTAATGTATCATTCGTTCATACATTTTGTATTGGGTTTACACCGAAAAGACTTCTCTAATTTATTCCGTGAAAACTGAATGGCACTAAGATCGTTCTCTGCACTGATGTTAGACTGACATATGATGATAACTTGGATTCAACTTGCAAATCCTAATTTAAATTAGATCTAAGGCGTAAATGAAATTTCTTTTTTGGGTTGCATCGCCAGATCGCCAGGCTCATTATGTTATCTGAATCGCCCTGTATACAGTATTATAAAAAACTCCCCAAGCCATAACTCTATTGTTTTTAGAGTTATGACAATATTTCTTAGATCAAAGTTGAACATTTTTTGTTATCTATCGTTTGGGATAGATGCTAAATTAATGCTGTTTTTTGTTTAATCAGAAGTGACATCAACTTTAATTTTTGAAATAGAACAGTTTGTATATTTTACCACTTTTGGGTTCTTTGTTTAATTGCTTTTTAAAAGGTTTGAGTACCATATGCCTAAAACCAACCGTTCGTGAGATATTCGCCAAATAATGTATTTATTAAAGAAGGCATTTTAAAACAATAATATCAAGTAATGTTGACAAATATTATTACTTTCCCTTTTTTATTACTGTCTTTATATTTTTTGGGTGTTTATCATGGATGATAATGTGTCAGCAGACATGATTAAAAAATATTTTGAATTAAATAAAAATAGTGGGAGAGCACTACGAACGCCTTAATACTAGGCGATTTTCGATGAGAAAAATTCTAAATCGTCGAAAATTTAAGCGACTTAAAGAAAATTGAGGATGTCTTTAGAACACCCGAATTAAAATATCGCAAATTTTAAAGAGATGCAGAATTAGATAGTGTTGAAGAAAATGCAAGAACATCAACTCGAGAAATTGCAAGTGACGTTGCTTTATCACACGCAACTGTTTTAATTTGGGTTTTCTAAAAACCCCAAACATTTTCTAATTTTCTTTAAGTCGCTTAAATTTTCGACGAAATAAAACTTCTGTTATCAGAAACCGCAGGCGTAGTGGTCTCCAACTATTTTTATTGTATTCAAAATATTTTTTAATCTTGTCTGTTAACACATTATCAGCCATGATTAAGACCAAAAAGTATAAAAATTGTAAGAGAAAATGCAAAGTAATATTATTTATTCACAATCACTAATGTAATATGCCGATTACTAACCTTTTTAAGGTTGGGAAACATGTCATTATTTCTCATGAAGAGTAATAAATGTTACTCCTCTTGGGTGGTAATATGCAGGATTGCCAACGTTAAAATTACAAAAATACCCGAAATTTGTTCTTTTAAATTGTCAAGTTACGCATAATATTTCGCTAAATTAGTATTCAATTGCTTTTGTAGCAGTTTCTCTTAATTCTGGGGGAGTACATTGTCCATTTCGACGACGTTAAATTAGGTTTACACATTATTTCTATATTTTCTTTGACATTTCTGAAATGTCAAAAATCAAACGTCATTTGGATGGCCTACCACGTTTGGACCTTAACTTTGTTAGAATTTTATTTTACTCAAATTTTTGACTGAAAATAATGTAATTGTGAATAAAATAGCATACAAACCTCGGTGGTAATGGCATTACCCCTTGTGCTTTATCCGATCTCGAGGCTAGCGCCTCTCGATCGTATACATAAGCACTCGGGGTAATGCCATATTTACCACCTCGCTTGTAATGTACTATTCTCAACATTACTTGATATTATTGATTTTCACTACCTACTTTAATAAATACATTAATTGGCATGGTTGGTTTTGGCCATATACCATATACAGGTTGTTTCACGGCGCCTGTAAGATGCAATCAATATTACATATTCTCATACGAACTTGATTACAAATTTTAAAAAATTGAATAATCTTCTCTGGTTTATTCACCCTTTAAAAAAATACAACGTTTTTAGTTAGTTAGTGATTAAGATAGATAAACTAGAGTCATAATCATGCCGTCTATTGATAGAACAAATGATAATTGTTTCTGAAAAACTACAGTTTATGACTATCAATGAAACAGTGATTAGTTTGACAACTACTGTTATGGGTTTCCAAAAGTTAAATAGTTAGAAGTGTATTTTTTGTATCCAGTGTTTTGTGACTTTTGTATATTTGGGTGCGTACATTAGGCGCAAGCCTCGTAAAGTTGTGTGAAACATCCTGTAGTACTAAAACCTTTTAAAAAGCAATTAAACAAAAAACCCATAAGTGGTAAACCATACAGAATGTTCCATTTAAAAAAATTAAGATGATGTCACTCCCGGTGAAACTGAAATCAGCATTAATTTATCATCTATCTCAAACGATAGATGACAAAAAATGTTCAACTTTGTTCTAAGAAACATTGTCATAACCTTAAAAATAGTGAAGTTATGGCTTGGCGCGTTTTTCATAATACAACCTGTATATAAAGGCAATTACCTACAAACTATTTTAGTAGTTACTTCTATATTTTACTGCAAATTGTTTTGGTTATCTATCTTTTAATCATTTTTTTCTTAAGTAATCGTCAACAATGTCTAAGTTTTTAGTATGGTATGATTGATAAATAATTTCTACATTAAGTTAATTTGATATTTTGTTACAATTTTAGTCTATTATTGGCGAGGTTCCCATTGATGGAGAAGTGCCCAGAGATGCTATAGTAGCAGGACAAAATATGTATTATTTATGAAAACATTACATTGGGCAAATATACGCAAGGAAAGGAACAATCAAATTGACGAGAGAAGACGACGATTTATCAAATTGACGAGAGAAGACGACGATTTAATTTATATAACAATTAAAGTTAATTAGTTTATCTAACTTTATCATATAATATTGACCAAGTACGAGTATGTCAGCAATAAGCAATTAAAACACATGTCCATCTAAGAGTTACGAGACAACCCTCATAAATCCCAACAGATAAGAGTTTTTTCAGGTAGAAATATTTCCACGAACAACGACCAAAACACATGTTATTCCCAGAAATATGGGAAAAATACATTATACATATCAGTTCTAACCCAATAAATTGTCTGGGCCAAATCACTAAAATAACAAATCAACGCTATCAAGTTATATTAGTAGAAGCATTATTAATCCAAAATACTTAGACAAACCAAAACAACTTATCAATAGTAATTTGTATTATCAAAAATAAATATTATTTACCCCATTTAACATATAAAACCCCCTTGTAACTAAGTCAGTTAAGTTCAGTTGTAACCCATAAGTCTGCTTGTTCGAATAAAATATAATTTTAAAAAATTATTTGTTTTTCAAAAAAAAACATAATTGGCGCATTCAGTAGGATAGCACAATCGTGTTGTGCATCCTGCGATCTAGAATTTCAATTCTCTAAGTGCTACCCAAGAAGAACCTMAAGTATCCCTGCGAAGGTTCCTGCATCGAGTCAAGAACTCTACGAAGCGTTCTTCAGGTCCTGGACAACGGGGCAATTGAATTCGTCAACCAGGATTGATACCAGGTGGGTCTGAGTATCTGAATCCATCCCTACTTTTCTCTCCCRGCCKATTCCCTGCATAGGAATTGATTTGCTTAACTTTTCAAAAAGTATATTAGTAAACAAAAATAAAATAGTTAGTAGTAATAATTTAATTTCATGACTGATAACAATTCAAATATAGATAAATTGGTAGAAAATTTTGAAAACTCATTAAAACTCACAAAAATGACTCAACCACAAGGTCCAAATTACACTCTTTTAAAATTATTCGTCGATACAATTCCAAATTACGATGGTAACCCGAATACGCTCGAAATTTTTATAAACGCTTGTGATCATTTATTTTCCCAYTATGGAAACTTTACAGAACTTGTTCCATATTTAAGACGAATTGTTATTAGCAAATTAGTTGATCGTGCTTTAATTCTAATAGGTTCTAAAACTGAATTAAGCACCTGGAATTCAATAAAACATGCTTTAAGATCAAGCTTCGGTGATCAATGAAATTTGGATTGTCTAGAGCAAGATTTATTAACATTAATTCCGTTCAAAAATGAAGACCCATTGGATTTTGGCAAAAGAATCCAATTAATACYTAGTAGATTATTTTCTAAATTAAATACCCTTAGTGCTCTTGAAATGCCCGATAACACAAAAAACGTCCACTCTAAACAATATGATCAGTTGGCATTAAAAACTTTTATTCGTGGATTACCTCGCGATATTCAAAGTATAATAAGATTAAGAAATCCCGTATCTTTAGAAATAGCAATGCAATATGTAACSGAAGAATATAATTTTCGATATACCCAAAATTTTTGTTCATTATTATATTCAAATAATAAACCAAATTATGCCAAATCGCAAAATAAAATAAATCACAATCATTCTCAAATTAATAACCATCACCATCCATCTACAATGTCATTTCCGAATTATCAATCTTTTTCTCAAAATTTTAATTCCCAACAATTTCCAAGTCAGCCAACTGAGGTAAAATCTCGACCAATTCAATATAAATTCCCTACAAACGCCCAAGTTTTTGGTCAACCTAGAAATGTCTTCAAACCTAATGGATAAATTCCGAAAGATCCTGTTGAAAAAATGTCAACTACGTCAAGAAATCCCTCAATACGACATTTCAATAATTATCAAAATCATCATAATAATGTTCAACCCATGTCCACAACAACACGAAACCCAACAATCAGACAATCTAATCATTTTAGATCTTTTGGCCCAAAAAATTTTATTTCAGAAGAAATCCATTTTTTTCCAAAATAATGATCAAAACAGTCACACAAATAGTCATTATTTATCCCCACAAACAAGTAATTATGAATCACAAAATCATCTTGAAAATAACGATAACTATAATTACTTCAACAATCAAACAAATTATTTATCAAATCAAACAAACAATTATGAAGAAGAAGAGTATTTACAAAATAATGATAACTTAATTACTTCAGATAATCAAATGACCAACGAAAATATTTATTCTAACCATAATGAACCCATCAACATTTGTGAATCATTTTATTTGGCAAATAATGAATTTAAAAATAATGAAGTCTAGGAAAATTTTCAGTCATCAAGTGTTTATGAAATAAATAGCATTTATAATTACTACAATTCATTCCCTTATATAAAAATTAATAATCCTCCAGTTAAATTATTAATAGATACTGGATGTGATGTTTCAATAATTAAACCTTCAATAGTTGAAAAATATTTTCCTTCTTTCATATACCATCAACATTCTTTAATTAAAACCCCTACTGGCGAAAAAATATAAAGCAGATATACCTGCTTTTCCTGAATTTAATACTGATCAAACTTTTTCATTTATTTTATATGATTTTCATGATTTCTTTGATGGAATTATTGGTTTAGGCGATTTAATACGTATGAAATTTTCTATTGACTTAATCAATCACAAATTAATAAATGAAAAATTAGAAATACCTATATTTTATCATAAATTAAATGAAAATATTGATGTAGACACATTTTCTAAATCAGAAATAAATGCAATAGAAGAACAAGATGATACATTATCACTAGCTGTTAATTTAGACCCAAGAGAACAATTAGAACAAACTCTTGATGATTACCTTGATGTCCCTCACAAAATTTCTGTTCCTGATATCCCTTCAATACCTAAATTAATTCAGAACAAAACAGAAGAAAAAATTAAAAACATTTCACATAATATAAAATTAAAATCTCCTAACGACCCAAATGCAACTGTTCATTCATCTACAGAAAATCCAATTCAAGAAATTCCAATAACAGAAAGACCACTAAATATTTATAAAAATCAAGTTATAATCGATTGCAGCAAAGATGCATTAAACTGTAACATAAAAAATCAAAAAATTTTCGACAAAAATAGAATTACATTTTTAATTCCCCTAAATAACTTTGAAATAAATGTGATCAACACAATTAAACAATATTTAAATCCAAAACAAACTTATAGTTTATTTTTTAAACAACCTGAAATCGCACCGAGATTCATAAAAGCTGTACAAATGTACTTTAAAAACACTTCCTTCAAATTTATAAAATCAAATTCAATCTTAACGGACGTTATAGATCTCGACCAACAAAAAGAAAAATTACAATATTATCACGAAGGAAAGACCAGCCACAAAGGCATAAATGAAATGAAAACGGCCCTTAGTAGAAATTGGTATTGGCCAAACATGATAAACGACATAACAGACTATGTAAAAAACTGTAAAATTTGTCAAATTGCAAAATATGACAGAAATCCACCTGTTATAAAATTTAATCTAACACCAACGGCAAGTAAACCCTTTGAACATATTCACATGGATACATTCAAAATCATGAATCATTCATTTTTATCAATACTAGACTCATTTTCTAAATATGGTCAGGCATATCCAATCACATCTTTGCATCCAATTAATATAGTAGACTCATTATTAAACTACATATCACTCCACGGGCTACCACTCAAAATAACTTCTGATTGCGGAGGTGAATTCAAAAATAATTTGTTAGAAGACTTTTGCAAATTACATAAAATCGAAATTCATTATACTACACCCAAAAACTCAAATAGCAATTCCTTAGTAGAAAGGTTCCACTCAACCTTAGCTGAAGAAATTAGATGTCTTAAGTTACAAAAACCAACCGAAACTATTGATAAATTAATCTTTTATGCCATCATCGGTTACAATAATACAATACTCTCAGTTACCGGATATACACCTTTTGAAGTTGTAAAAGGCCACATAAACTCAGATGATCAATTTGCATTAGATGATAAAGAAATAATTTCAAATTACATTCAAAATCATCGAGAAAACGTCAAAACTCCCTATAGTCAAATCAAACAAAAATCAGCTACAAAAAAAACAAAATATAATTAACAAAAGAAATGAAAATAGAGAAGACCCAGAGACATATGCACCAAATCAAATCGCTTATATTAAAACTAAAGCTAGAAACAAAGCACATCCAAAATTCACCCAAACCAAAGTTGTTTCTGATGACCATAAAAACCTAAAAACAATTCAAGGCACTTATCATAAATCTCACGTAAAAAGAACAAGGACAACTCATAATAAAAATCTTTCTTTACAGAACGAAGAGAATGGAAATTCATCTCAAAATCTCAATTATCCTAATCCTGATTCACCTGACCTCCTCTCATAATATTAAAATCACTACTTTAGATAGTCAAATACTACCATTTAACCTAGGTTTAGGTAAGATAATGCAAGATCATCATACATTTATTCATTATGTAGAAATAGAACCATTAATTAAGATTTAGATAATGTTAATAAGTATTTTATTATTGTAAACAATACATTATATAGTAACATAACATTTCAAACAGCAGCACTTACCTATCGAAATGTATTACGAAATTCAGTCAATAAAGCTCATTATTTAATCATAGAATCGCGCAATAAACTTGACAATTTGGCACCTCATTCCAGGAATAAACGTGGATTAATTAACGCCATAGGTAAAGCTTCAAAATATTTATTTGGTACTTTGGACTCAGATGATGCCGAAAAATATAATAAAGCTATTAAAATTCTAACTGATAGTCAAAATTCATTAAATAAACAAATTCAGATCCAAACTTCATTGACAAAAAGCTTGATCGATAACTACAACCACACAATAATAACCCTCAGTAAAAATCAATAGTTAATTAAAGAAAGATTAAATCATTTCGAGCATAACGTTTATAAAACTTTCGATGATATATCCGCTTTTATCAGAGCTCAAAATACATTAGATCAAATAATTCTGAATTGTCAAAACTTAATTACATTCTTAGACAATCTCGAAGACTCTATCACTTTTGCCAAATTAAAAACATTGCACAGCTCAGTAATTTCAGCTACAAACTTAAAATATATATTAAATACGCTTTCAGAACTATATGAAAAACACAAAATACCCCAGTTTACTAATATCCTTTCATATTATCAAATAGCAGATTTAAATGTAGCATTAGTTCAAAATACAATAGTCTTTTCAATTCATATGCCAATTCTAAATTCCGATTCCTTTGACTTTTTCCACATTTATTCAATCCCTCAATCAAACTTAACAATTGTTCCACCAAACCCATTCCTTCTACTCAGCTCTCAAACCCACCAATATCACGAAGAAGACTGCCCACAAGTCGAAAACCTGAGAATCTGCAAAAACAAATTGGTTCCAAATCAAGAAGACTGCATAATTTCAACAATACTCAATCGTTCAATTCAAAATTGCCATTTTACCAAAATTCAATTTGAGAAGACGATAAAACAAAGGATCAGTAATAGCCACGTACTTTTAATACCAGAAGAAAAACTCAAAATCAAACGAAAATGTAACGCCGACAACATTGGATTTGTAATCATCAGTCGAGCAAGCCTTATCAAAATCCCACAACACTGTGAAATCGAAAGTGACGATTTTGTCTTTCGTAACGAAGAAAACATATTAGAAGGAGAGCCGTTTATTTTACCTGAGATTTCAACAGGAATCAATAAAGCAAG